ACTTTTTTTTTGGCAGACATTTTAACATATACATAGTTCCACTGTACTTCTTTGACAGTTTCAGTTGTCACTGCAAGCTGGGTGCTATCTATGTAACAGAACAAAAGATTTTTCCAATAAAGCCATCAATCAAAACTAAAATGTGTCAACTTCCGTGAAACAGAAGTATGAGCTTCTATAAAACTATAGACAATAATGGAGCAGAGAACATTTCAGTAACAATTCAAGATAAATCTACAGTGAAACCATACCTTACATTGATGATGAAAATCTCTGCATCTTCTCAAGAAAATTCCATAACTAATCAATAGGTTAAAAACCACTGTACTTAAAACATACTGATTCTTGTCTTAATACAGTAAGAAAGCTTCATTACTACTCAGCGACTGTTCAGTGTCATCAAGAAAAAAACAAATACTTATGTAAAAAGGAAATATACCACGTGCTGCATAGTCGCTTCAGTCCAGCACAGAAAACAATGAAATGGAAACTCTGGAACTGGTTATGCCCAATGACTTCATCTAACATTTAGATGGATATACATAATTTAAAAAAATAAATGCATGTTACACCCTTTGTATTCATCCCATCTGATTTTTGAGTATTTTATTAAGATGCCCTGTTTAGGAGCTTAATCTTTGCTGAAGAAGAAGAAAATTAACATAAGGAGGACAGCTGTTCAGAGAGTGATAGAAAATTGGGCTGAACAATGCATCAATTTCTAATGTAGAGCCCCAAAACATAGTAACACTCAAAACGGATTAAATGAAAAGTCCTGTTATGGCCCTAATTCTGAGAGTAGGAAAGAGTAGAGGAGTAAGTGCCCCTGTTGAGTGCCCAAAGCTGAGTGGTGTGAACCTGAATGTGTCATTGGTTGGATTCACCAAGAATGAGAAAAAAAGCATGCTTACAGACAACAGCAAAGAGACATAGCTGCTAATCTGTCCAGAGCCTTCCTGCCTCAAATACAGTGAACAAAAGGGCAGCTCTAGCCATCACTGCAAGATCGGCAGGTAAAATATTACACAACCTCTGTATATAACTAAGTTTCTGGCTGCCAGAAATCTTCTACAATGGCAGAAAACCACTTTTCTGTCTGATTCTTAAAAAAATTAATATTAAAAAACAATAAAGTTTAATTTCTGTAACTAATTTCTTTCATCAAACATACTACTCTATACTCGGGTGTAGAAAAAGTAGATTCACAGTGTGATAGGACAGCATTAAAATCCCAGAGGCCAGTGGAATTCCTCTGGTTTAAAATGCTGCAGTCAAAGGCAACTGAATGGTTTTAAGCCCTGTAGTCTCTAACGTGACTGACGTTTGTAATTCACTGCTCATACGCAGTTCTTTGCAGGAAGAAGCTAATACAGAAGTTACATCACAAAGCCAAGCATCACAATTAAATTGCTTTGTTTTGAATGCCTGCATGTTTCTTCCCCAGGAACAAATACTGCAGTGTACCCAATCCATTCTCATTACTGAGAGTCTTGTTATGTTTCAATACAGACCAAGAAAAGCATATTACTTAAGGACAGGATTTTCAGTAGTGTCTAAATCCTATTGATTTTCAATAAGAAAGCTCCACTGTACATCCTTCCTCTGTTATAACCCTTAGCTACTGCAGAGACACTGGCTGCTAAAACCTGCAGTGTCCTGAGAGTGCCTGAAATAAAACACCTACTAAATACTAAGCAAAGCCAAACAGTTAATCACTACAATTTTAAGTCTGGCTACAGAGACATACAAGATGCCTACAAAAGACAATCTCCTGAGCACATGAAAGAAGAACTTCCTGTAATGATCCCAGTTAGTGATTACTTTCAAGACACAGACTGTAGACATCAGCCAATATGATCAATCAGGTGTGGCAAACTGATGAAGACACAGTGTTAAACACGCAGGCACAGTTCTTTGAAACCTTGATTTTTCTATCACACAACTTATTTATGTCTTTGTAAAACTGATGAAGACACAGTGTTAAACATGCAGCCACAGTTCTTTGAAACCTTGACTTTTCTATCACACAACTTATTTATGTCTTTGTTTACCTCTTTTCCCCAAAAGTCACGTTAAAGAGTTATATGACCTTGTAGTACATATGATGCTAGAACAGTTTTCCATAAAGCAGCAGGAACAATTGCACAGGGATCTGCATTCAAAAGGGACCACTTGGCAGCACACTACCATGGCCTTTCCCCTGTCATATGCTCAAAGCCATTGCTACCCAATGCATATTTAACTTCTGTTCAAAATAGATTTGCAAAATTAACCTATGTCTTTTACATGGTGGTTGCTAGCCAGAAAAATTAACATCCAGTTAAGAAAAATCTAACCTTTATGAACTCGAAGCTTGTAAAAGCCTTCATCCTGAATACCTCAGATGAAATTGAAAGAATATTTATATAAAAAACCTTGCAAATTTACTTCTTTATCACATTCAAGTGCTGAAACATATGATGTACTATGCATACGAAGGCAAGTAGTGATCTCTGAATTTACATGGCATTATGGAAGCCAAAACTTGCTTTCATGTGGTACATTCTCAACCCAGCAATGAATTAACTTGGTGTATACCGAGTTATATTCTGACAGAGGCAGACAGGGAAAGAACCAACTGAAAAGACATCTGCTACTCCAAGTTTAGCATGAAACAGCCTTGTTGTTTAAAAAAAAACAGACTCGTTTTCTTTATTCACCTTGTGAGTAGGAAGGACAGAATGGTGTGGGAACTGAGAAGGTCCCCCTCTGGACACCAAAACATCCCAATTTCACTCTGAGAAGTAAGAAACACTGTGTATATAAATACTAAGTTGTTCTTGCACTGTGTAGTAACGGTGTGAACAAGCAGTTCACAGATAAAATCACCTGAAATATGTGTAGATAAGCATCACAGGAGTGACTAGCACTGAAACCCACAGCCAAGATTCACAGGTTTTATTCTCAACTGCACCTATAGGTTAGATGCCTCTCAGCAGTTTATTTTTCATGCAAGATTTTAAAAAATTCAAGGGAAAACTGCTACAGATATTGAGTATTGGTAAGATTTCCAACCAATCTGTAGCCTATTTTCTTCATTCTGTTTTTTTCATCTGTGGAATATAGAAAGCATAGAAGGGTACGCTTCCTTTCTAACTAAACTATAAAGATAGAAAACCTGGTTTTTGCAAAGAACCAGCCCATCAATTTTTTTTTTCATCCAGGTTTCCAGTTAACTTATTTCTATGATATTGAAGTGAAAATTTAAAAAAATATATTCCGCTTAACAATAAAATTCACTACTGATGGCAGATATTTGTAGTAAACTTCAGATAAGAATATAGCTACGTAATGATGTTTGCAGCCCTAAGCGGCAAAGCTTCCTTAGCTTGTCATAAAAGGTACTTTCTTGTCATCCATTCCCTTTTATGCAAATAAATGTAAAAATAAATAGTTTCAGGCATATGATCAAAACAAACATGATGCAAAACCATTATTAGATAATGATTGCCTCTTGTCCGTTTCCACGATGCAGCAAAAATTTGGTCACAGTGAATAATTTTTACTGTTCATCACAACCTGGAAGGATATGTTAAGTTTAGTTTCTTTAGCCTTAGGTTACTCAAATGACTATCACAGCACACACTGAGTTTAATTCCAAAGCTTTAAAAACACTGCTGCCTGTCTGAGTTCACACAGGTACAAAATATCTCTATTAGAAAGTCAATTTAACATTGTAATTGACCATGGGAATCGAGACTTCTGGGGGTTTACCCTCAGATGCATGTTTAAATATGCTATTTGCCAAGAGTAGAGGATGATGAATACACTGCTGTGTCAAATAACCATGATATATGTACACAGAAGAGGTACAGTGCAATACTGAAAGTAGGACGCTATCTCTGCTTATGATGAATGGATAATCTCAATGTTTCTATGTGTATTAGAAATAAATATACTCAATTACTGGTCCAAAAAACTATTCAGAAGCACACTGTAGTATTCACATGAGATGAGAAGCAAGGGAATTCACTGAAACAGCTACAGGTTATCCACTGTTGACAAAACAGGTTGAATAATTTCATGGGTATGGCATAGACTGAGATACAGATTTCTTCATTTAATGTATATAACTTTAATTTAGAAACTTATGGAATATCAGTATGGATACAAAAGTCTACTGCTGCTCATTCTGTTCACATGGACTGTGAAAAGATCCATTTTCTTTGCTCAGAAACTAGCTATGAAGAAAAACACCACAGCCAGAGAGAAATTTCAGGCAGGAAAAGCAACACAATGAAATTTGTTAAACATAACATTCTGCAAATAAAAACTTTTTGACAGGGAAAGGTGAAAATCTAGTATTCACAATTTGTACTAATGTTTCCAGCAAGCAACTTGGGTTTGTTTGTGATTTGTCTGGGGTTTTTTTTCTGTAACCAGAAGGTTGTGCTGGAAGTGATAAAGCTGATTTAGACTAGTGAAGGTTTCATGCTAGACTTCCATGTAATTTTGTTGAAGGATAAAATAAAATTCTCCTACATAGCTGCACAAGTTAGTATTCTTGTCTTCTAATTCCAAAGAAAACTGTAGAAGTAACCATCAACATGAAATAGAAAGGATAAGTTGGATAATCACAAAGCCTTCAGAAAAAAGAGAGAATTCAGAAACTCTGTATTCAACAGCACCTTAAATGAAAGTCAAAGGTCTCAGCAGAGGAACTTTAGAGGAAGTAAGCGTGCACCCAACGTAAAGCATAGCTTCTCTTCATCTTGCACTTCTTTGGGAGATAAGAAACCATCTCCACAATAAACATCAAATGAAAGAAACCACAACTCCTTGAATTCCTTTGTATTTCATGACGGGACACGCAACCATGAAGTCTAGTTCTACAAGCCTAAATTAACTGCAGTATTTGACAGATCAATCAGTTAACAAATCAACAAATTCAGATGCTATTTGAGCTGAAGAGAGGTTAAGCATCAAGTTTAAAATGGATATCTTTTCACTTTCACTTTTACCTTTAGGTCCTTTGAACAACTTGATCTCTACCACGGTCTCCAGAATAGGCCTTCTTCGACGAACATACAGTCGTACTATGGAGCCAGCCTCTTTTAGGGCCTCCACGGCTTTGCTGTGTGAGACTTCTGACACGTCGACCTCGTTCACTCGCAAGATGCAATCGTTGACCCTACAAGAAAAGCAAAGGACCATAGGTACTAAATGCTTCAGCTGCTGCTTTGGACCAAACACAGATGTTTGTCACCAGTGCTGTAAAACAGAGCACGCTCCATTGAGAAGCCTTCCCGCTGCCAGACTTGATGCGATATGCTTCATTAGCAATGAGAGAGAACCAGAACACTCAGTCCCTCCAAAAAACATAACTGATTCACCTACACCTACCATCCTCCTTCATAAATTGGGGTTGGATCTACCAGAGTGATAGAAATGAGTAATAAACAACTTGTCTTTACAGACTTCATTAAACAACCTTTTTTTCTAAACAATATAATCAAGTTACAACCTTCATGCTGCACGCTACTACTACGGAAGTTGCTCTTAAAGGAAATCAGTTATTTAATTTAATACAGAGAGACCACTAATTGTTCAAATACCTCCTTAAATCTCTCATATTTCTTCATCAGAGCCAAGGAATTCTAAGTTGTCAAAGTAAAAATGCTGTCCTACAAGAAGCAGACAATTTAAAAGAGAATGTTTCATGCTAAATAATTTGCGTAAATGTCATTCTTTATGTTTTCATCACTAACTATAGACTCCAGGATCTGCTATGTGGTAATAGCATCTATTTTTCATAGAATACTAATAAAATTCCCTCATATTCTTACTTTGGGAATTTACTGTATTATCTGAGGATGAACTAATACATTCACCCTCAAAAATGTCCTGGTTAAATGGAGCATTATTCTCCTTGTCTGACAGATATGTCCAAGTTGGAAAGGAAATCTACATTGAGAGCAGTAAAATCCATCTCCAAAGCAGCAGGCTAATGACTTAACTGCTGGGCCATCCTTTCTCTGCAAATGAGGGTAACTGAGAAGAGCAAATTCCAAAGAACCGGATGAATTGAGATGCCACTGTTCTTGTGAAGTACATTTATTATGAAGAGGCCTCTAAGTATTTTGGGTACAGAAGGAAAAGGCGTATGTAAATTAATGTGTTCTTCTGCATATCTGAAAGAACAATCAGCAAAGAAAATATTGGCTGCTAAAAATATCCCCATTTCTGCTACATTTCTAGACATAAAGATCAGCTATCAAACGGGTCCTCTTTGCAGCAGAAGAATACTTGAGCTGGGTATTGCTCAGGAGTCTTAGCATATGAAGGGAGAGCAAGCTTTACCTGAACTCAGTAGTTTAGGATGGATTTTTGTTATGTTCTTGTGCTGCTGTTTTTGTTCAAAAGCTAAGCAACAAAAAGACCACAACTATTTGAAACCAAGGACCTTCTGTGTTATCAGCCTGTCGGAAGAACATTTACAGGGGAAAATGGTGATAGCAGCTTTTATTTGACAACTGGTTGAACCTGGAAAGGACACAAAATTGATACTTCCCTTCTGACAAAAAGTACTGTATTGCAAAGTTCCCGGTTTTTATTCAATGGTTAGTTTTGGTGCTTTCCTTCAATGTCAGAAGTATTAATTTTCCAAGTGTTTAATTGTGTGGTTTGGATGTCAAATTAGTAAGTGCTCTAATATAAATGGTTTCATTCTTTAGAACATATCCAGCTAGTTCTTCCCACTCAGAAAGGCAGTAATTATGTCTAAGCTGCTATTCTTTCTCTTGATATTACTATAGGCTTGATTCTTGTCAAATTTATGACTTATTTTTGCCATATCTGCAATACAATTGGCTATACCATACTTTGTGAACAAGCTGTAGGATCTTAACCATTGGATGGCTATGAAGATAAAAACATAGAAAGAGATTATAAAAACATGGAAAGAGATTATAAAAACAGCAAAAAGGAGGATTACTTGTATTTTGTTTTCATATACTCTGTGCCCTGCACTGATGAATATTGATATTACTTGATCCTATCTACCTAAAACTCCCATAAAGTCACTAGTGTTAAAGCTCATAAGGGTTCCTATTAAGTAAAAAGTATACCTTTTGGAGAAACTCAGTAAACAACATGGAATTAACTTCCCAAAATCAGTAAGCCACACACCCCCATCTACTGAAAAAGCAAGACCTTCTAGAAAAGGACATGTACACTCCAACAGAAATCTCACCTTGGTGGCTACAATTTGAGTTATCAAGTTGTTTAGAACAGTAAGACTATCTTCAACAAAAAATGGACAGATTAATACTACTAGTGCAGGATGAATACAAGAGTGAGAGAATACAAAGCTGATCCAGTGATAGAAATACTTTCATACAAGGTATTTTGTTTGTATACAAACTTTGTCAGCACAGAATTAGCAAGACAACAATTACTCTATCCAGTCTGCTGTGACAAACACGTCCACAGCTACATATCCAGCTACACCTTTCCAAACCTGTAGGTTTTCTTCCTTCCCCACAAAGATGAGGGGTTTAGTTCTCATAAATATAATAAATACAATATTCAATAACACACATGCACATGCACAAGTGTGTGCACAAACATATGTGCCTGTAGAGTTCTGCGGGCTTTAACACAGTCTTTTGGAGGGCATGCTGACCCTGTCCTAGAAGAACAGAACATAATGATCTCAGAGGTCTAAGAATGTTCTTTGAGAATATTTAGACCTCTAAAACAGCAGTTCATGGTACAATGAAATAAATGACATAAGCTGGTGAGACGACTCCAACCTTAACGGCTAAATGATTCTTGTATTATTAGTAATTTAGAAACTCCAGAATATTTTTTAAATTTAGAAACATGGAGCATTTAGAATTAAAAAAAAACGATTATTCATTAAAAAATACAACTTCAAAGAACCAAAATAAAGGAAGAAAGCTGAAGCAGCATGTCAATACACATACTGCGATGTCGTATTTTTCTTCTTAATTCTATGCAGAAGGTTTCCAGGGCCAGTACTTGGCATAACTGTTATTATCCAAAGACAGAAGCTGTGAGAGTGGGTTTGGTATATTCTCTTCTACTATTTAAACTACAGTTCCCCCTCCGTAATAACTCTGCACTATAATTCTTGCAACAATGCAAACTTAAAATAATAACAGCAAAAAACCCTAAAATCAGTAAATCCAGTTTAAGAAAAGTCCTTCAAATGATCAACTGTATGGCCTTACCACTTAGGGTCAAAATTATTCTGCCCTTGAAAAATGCTCTCCAATATATTTTCTTGGCTTCATTGAGATATTTGTGTGCCAACTGTACAGCACTCATACATGGATTCTTTTCCACATCTATCTCAAAATCTTCCTACGGCCTATAGGTGAGTATACACTATATGCAGAAGTTAGTTTCAGGCACAGTTTCAGACCTGTGCCAAGGAGAAGACTGCCTCATAATCCAAGATAGTACTACAAAAGTCCAACAAAAGAGATCCTTATAGTTTCACTAATACCTAGAGTAATCCAACCCCCAAAAAAATCTAGGCAAAAGGAAAATTGTTCCAAGAAGACTTTCCTTATTTCCACAACAAGTTACCATAAATATATTTTGCTAATATTTAACCATTTCTTTAACTGTGTCAGCACTTTTAAACTATTGCCATTCTACTTGTAAGTCTTAATGCCGTATCTTTAAGTAAGATCAACAGACCTTTAAGTAAGATCTATTCATAGTTATTTTTTAAGATTGCAAAAATTGTAAAAATTTCTAATGACTTGTAAAAAGTTCTAATGAGAGAGAAAGCAGAAAAGTAAGTTTTAAAGTATTTTAAGCTACAGCTCACGACTTTTGCAACACTTAAGAACCTAGAGGAAATTTGACTTTCTCTAACTGCATGCGAAAATACACTTAAAAATTATTCAGATGCAGAGCTTCAGCTGCTAAGATGTAACAATATAATATCAGCATCTGCTGATGAAAAAGGTTCACAGAGTTCTTGACTAAATTCAGTTATGTTTCAATGAAAACAACATGATTAGAAGTATTCTGGAGAATGCATGTGTCATGCTGAAGAAAATAATGAAAATATGTTCTAACCATATTTTAACAGAACATAAGCCTAAAAGCAAATGTTCGTGCTATTGTTTCCTTGTAAAAGAGGGACTTCATATCTGAATTCAGCACAGCATATAAATCTCTGATTAATTTTTGAGGTACAAGTAATCCTAATTCTATTTTAGCCAAAATACTTACACAGGGACTTAGTATTATACATATGCTTAAATTTATTCAAGTCTGTAAAATCACCCATGCAGGTGATTCTACAGGATTACCTGATTAACTCAGGTAATGGCTGAGTTAGAACGAGTTAGACAGCTCTTCCACGACATAGCTCATCTAAACACTTTAACAAAATAGATGTATGCTACAAGGCTTTTGTGACATAATTCAGATATGAAGGACCATGCATGCTAAAATATAGAACACATACCAAGACAGTTACAATTGATACTAGAAATATCAATATGAGAGAGATTTTGCCATTAAGGCGGAAAGTCAGACACACAGAGGGTTACGCGTAATTGTTGCTGCCTTCAAAGCAAATAAGGGCTTGGGTTGAGTAAAAATACCATTCTTTAAGGCCTTATTCCAAGTGTGTTCTAAACATGACCACCTTCATCTGAATTTCATGTTTACTCTTTTCTAGAAACTGTGCAGACATCCTTGAAAAGCCAGTAATTGCTTCAGTCAAGTTGTAAGTAAACAAGACGAGTGCAATCCTTAGGCACTTACTAGAAATATAGTAGGTGACAACTGGTAATGATTATTCTGTTCACTTGTTCTGTGCAATATGGTGCCCTGAAGAGAAACCCAAAGCAGCCTCATGTGGCATCAAAGAGCCCCAGAAGATCAAATGGTCCTGCCAAGACACATTAGACAACTCGCAGCTCCGTAAAGGAGCTAGTTGGAACCAACTACGGACTTGGGAACAAGGGAATGATTTGTGCTCCATGGGACAACACGATGACAGTAAAAGCTACAGTAATCCAAGTGTCCTAGACACTTTCAAACTAATCGGCAGCTTATTAATGGGACAGCCCTGCTTCTCATAGACAGAATCATAGAAATCACAGAATCATAGAATCACAGACTGGTTTGGATTGGAAGGGA